CCATGTTTTTCCCATGGTGCTGGTGGCCTTCACCTGCCTTATAGCTTACAAGTTACTTGCTGTCATCGGATTACTGAGTGAGTGGTAGTTGGAATTCGAACAGAACTGCTACTTGTGGTGTCTTCTCTTTCTCTCACTTTGCTGTAACATTGCCTTATTGGCGGCTGAGCTGGAGGATTTCAGTGAGAAGAGATGAGGGTGGTCAAGCGGGAAGGAGAGGAACAGAAAACAGACGTTCACAAATGATTGAGACCCTGTTCACGTTGAGCGATTTATCGCGCGGTAATTCCCGCCATATCGCGGCAAATTACAGCACGATATCGCGCTCCAATGCAATCCAATGGGGCAAAAGGGTCCTGCTGTCGCGGGTCCGTGCGTCGCTACAGCAGGACCCTTTTTTGAGCGGATTTAGCCGCGATTCAAGCTTGCTCAATGCAAGCTTGAACGCGACATCGCGCGGCAAATCTCGCGATGTCGCGCAATATGCAAATCGCGCAACAAACACGCGATTTGCATATCGTGCAGTGGGAACGGGGCCTGAGACTGCAGGGGAGGACACACATCCACTACAGATGTCTGAGCCATTCAGTACTGTTTGTCGCCAATAAAAAGGCTTGTAATCTTACCCCTAAAGACCAAATATTTCTTACAATCAGTATTGTACTGGGTGTGCAAGTAAAAAAAAAAAAAAGTTGGAAACCACTGTTCTAGAGCATGAACTTTCCATGGAAATAGTGGAGTTATCTGTTGGTTAAAGGACAATGAAAGAAATCCTCTACGTGGTTTTTGAGTTTTTTTGCATTGACCCGGTGAACGAAGGAGCCATAGGCAAAAAGATGTTAAGCCATTTTAATTCTTATTTTGGGTTTTATCTCCCACTGCATTTTGAGTCCTTTGCAGTTACATTTTCATCAATTACATTGGTCGAAGTTAATCTGTGGGGATATCTAGCAAGGCACATAATCTCCAAATACTGATTAAACTTTCATAGCACTTTGGTGTCTGTGTTTTCCATTCAGAAAATTATGGCTTTATGATTTAGTATTCAAATAGCTGCCATCTATAGTTTACCTTGCTCCAGTTGCATACCTTTTTTTCTGTATTTGGAGTGGTCACATGATTACAATTGCTTGTTTTATAGTTCCCACAGTATTTTTCCACGAACGGAGTGGTGCATGTGCAGGCTCTCAGTGAAGAACTAGTTTCCTGCTGAGACAAGATGATGGGGATTATGAGCATTTAAGATTATGTTTAAGGCTGGGTTCACACCTAGGCTTATTGAATATGCGCGTTTGTCGCGCGTTTCGGGACGCGCAAATCGGTGTTAAAGACTGAATTTTTCGTAATGGCAGCGATCAGGAGCCTGAAGATTAGCTTATGGGCCCATTCACACCATGTCTTAAAATGCATCCTAATGTATCCCTATGCTATTTTTGGCATCTGTTTACGCCAGCACAGTCCGTTCCATACTAGACCAGAAAAGTACTGCTTGTCTTTTGTCTGGTCTGGAACACATAAAAACAGAAACAAACACTGGAATGCACCTGTAAGACCATTTTTTAAGCTTAAAAATTTCTTCCAAATGTGGCAAAATGCACTGCGTTCCAGATCTGGTCCGGAAAATGGTGTGAACCTGCCCTTAAAGTATGTGAAAGGGCTGGTTCACACCACAAAGTCTGCGTTCCAGAGCGTTCGGCCTCTTAGGAACGTGGAGTTTGTGATGTGAACCGGCCTGGAGGGATGTTAAACAGGCTCAGTATCTGCATAGTGGTAATGAGGGTTATTGGCAAGTAACACTACTTTCTACTTTTTAATGCTTTTGCACATTTGTATGTTTTATGCATGACGTGTAGTACAGAAGCAGCATTGCGCATTATTTGCTCCCTTGGCTTGCTCCCTTGACTACATGTGATTTGCCTGAATAACTGAGTGTTTTCCCACTTTAGGTGGCCATACACCTTACGATAATCGTATGCGATCGTCTTTTCGTACGACAATTGTAACGTGTGAATAGAGTGCCCGATCGATAGTACTGTACAATTGTACGACTTTTGACGGTCAAGCATGTTTGAAAACTTTGGTCGATCGTACGATGTTCGCATGGTTGGTGGCGTTTCCGTCCATCAAAAGTCGTACGATTAACACTGCGCATGCGCAAACGAAAATAATTGCGGTCGATTACCGCAAGTCGTCCAGGTGTTTTTTTTTTAACTACCGCTGATTGAACCTTTCATAATCGGGGCAGGATGGGTAGGACGGTTCGATCATCGGACGAAAAGTTTTGTCCGATAATCGTAAGGTGTATGGGCACCTTTTTAGGCTCCTTTCCCTAGGTGTGAATGAGGCTTTAGTTTGACAGCTGTTTTCACCCCTTTTAGTAGAGGGAAACCCTTTCCTGTCCTACTGTGCTCCTTAACAATCTGGATGGCATATAATCAAACCCAAGCATTGTCACCTGAGGCTGAAGTAATGTGTTTTGGTGGTTACTATCTGAATAGTCCTCAGAGCTGCTATTTGCATATTGACGTGTGGGGGCTGAAGTGGCAAATATATGTACTGACACGCTGGTCCTGCTGTTTCATTTACTTTAAATGGTCCAGACAATATACTGAACATTTAAGTTACTTGTAGTTTGTTTCCATCTCTGCAAAGATTACCTGTTTTTTTTTTAATAGTCACACTAATGATCATTGTGCTAGGCTATTTTTGGGGTTATTCAGTGAAGTAGTAGCCCAAATGATGTCAAAGGTGTGCACTACAGACCATTAGATGTCCACTGTAGTCAGGATACTACACTTGGGCCATTCACATTGATGTTTGCACTGCTTTACTGAATTATCTGTTTGAGTTGTGTTCATGCTGGTGCAGATGTACACTCCCAGAAAAAGGGGAACACGGTGGGGTGAGTGGTAGAAGTGGTTGAAAATTGTGGCATATGTAAAGTGAAAAATTGTTCTTCTGTGACCTTATTTGTGTTTAAATTTGCATTCTGTCGTTCCAACTCGGCAGTGATTGTGCTTTCATCAGAGCTAGTTAATCAAGTTGGTTAAGACTGTAAAAGGCTGTGGCTTGTTGATATGTCAGCAGTCTTTCAGTAAGCATAGTTGACCTGGTTTGGAGATCTACAGATAACCACTTAAGAAAAAACAAATGCAGAATAGCCTGTGAACACTTTCAGGAGTGTTGGTCTTTGGTCCCCTACAGTTATCACTGGTTCCTCCTGCTGACCTCCACGTCTCTTCTATATCCTGTAGTGGCTTAGGTCAGTAAGAGAAACCAGTTAGAGCTGCGGGGGACCACAGAGATCAACACTTCCTGACGTGTAGGGGTATTCATCAGTGCGGGCAGCAGGATTGGCAAGTATATGACTTTCTTCTTTAACCAGTGTATCTTGATTGCAACAGGATTGTTTTCCTTTTTTCATAGTCTTTCATATTGGAAGAATAATCCAGCCCATGGAGGTCATGAAAGATTCATGCACCCTAGTTGTATTGTTGCTTAGAATATGCTTATTAACTACCGCTGATTGAACCTTCGATAATCGGGGCAGGATGGGTAGGACGGTTCGATCATCGGACGAAAAGTTTTGTCCGATAATCGTAAGGTGTATGGGCACCTTTTTAGGCTCCTTTCCCTAGGTGTGAATGAGGCTTTAGTTTGACAGCTGTTTTCACCCCTTTTAGTAGAGGGAAACCCTTTCCTGTCCTACTGTGCTCCTTAACAATCTGGATGGCATATAATCAAACCCAAGCATTGTCACCTGAGGCTGAAGTAATGTGTTTTGGTGGTTACTATCTGAATAGTCCTCAGAGCTGCTATTTGCATATTGACGTGTGGGGGCTGAAGTGGCAAATATATGTACTGACACGCTGGTCCTGCTGTTTCATTTACTTTAAATGGTCCAGACAATATACTGAACATTTAAGTTACTTGTAGTTTGTTTCCATCTCTGCAAAGATTACCTGTTTTTTTTTTAATAGTCACACTAATGATCATTGTGCTAGGCTATTTTTGGGGTTATTCAGTGAAGTAGTAGCCCAAATGATGTCAAAGGTGTGCACTACAGACCATTAGATGTCCACTGTAGTCAGGATACTACACTTGGGCCATTCACATTGATGTTTGCACTGCTTTACTGAATTATCTGTTTGAGTTGTGTTCATGCTGGTGCAGATGTACACTCCCAGAAAAAGGGGAACACGGTGGGGTGAGTGGTAGAAGTGGTTGAAAATTGTGGCATATGTAAAGTGAAAAATTGTTCTTCTGTGACCTTATTTGTGTTTAAATTTGCATTCTGTCGTTCCAACTCGGCAGTGATTGTGCTTTCATCAGAGCTAGTTAATCAAGTTGGTTAAGACTGTAAAAGGCTGTGGCTTGTTGATATGTCAGCAGTCTTTCAGTAAGCATAGTTGACCTGGTTTGGAGATCTACAGATAACCACTTAAGAAAAAACAAATGCAGAATAGCCTGTGAACACTTTCAGGAGTGTTGGTCTTTGGTCCCCTACAGTTATCACTGGTTCCTCCTGCTGACCTCCACGTCTCTTCTATATCCTGTAGTGGCTTAGGTCAGTAAGAGAAACCAGTTAGAGCTGCGGGGGACCACAGAGATCAACACTTCCTGACGTGTAGGGGTATTCATCAGTGCGGGCAGCAGGATTGGCAAGTATATGACTTTCTTCTTTAACCAGTGTATCTTGATTGCAACAGGATTGTTTTCCTTTTTTCATAGTCTTTCATATTGGAAGAATAATCCAGCCCATGGAGGTCATGAAAGATTCATGCACCCTAGTTGTATTGTTGCTTAGAATATGCTTGCGCCAATTTAATTTTAACAAGTGATGAGCAGCTGTTCTGCCTATGTTGTCTTCTCCTGCAGCACAGTAAGGGAACAGCAGGGAGTAAAGCTGTTGCCAAGTGATTGGCCTAAATGACTGCAATGCCCTATAAGTTGTTGTACATTTTATAATTGTTAAAACCTGTTCTTCATATTCTTTCAGGTTTCTTTTACCCCCTTGGTGCCCCACGTCTACAACACTGCTTGAGACACATTGCTCAGACTCGCCTTTCTGGTGCTCATTCTTGTAGAAACTACTGACCTGCAGATAGAGCAGTGATCAACCCGCTTCATGCTGATTTAACAGGTAACAGAATGCGACTCCTTTCATGGCTTTATCACGTGTCTCTGAGTGCCTTTTATGTAAATTCTGAACTTTTATTGAGACCATTCCTAATGCCACACTGCACTAAGAGTAGGCAAAAAACACTGAGTTGTAAAGCTCTCTCTGTTGCAGGTCTTTCCTCGAGTTTCATTACAATAGGGGGAATTATTAAAACTGGAGCAGACCAAATCTGGAGTAGATTTGCACTGCAACCAATCTGCTTCTTGTCTAATTTTCAAATCTTACCTGAGCAAACTGAAGAGATGCTTATTGGTTGCCATGGGCAACTGCTACATAATCTGTTTGCTCCAGTTTTGATTCACCTCCAAAGTACAGTCCTGGCCAAATGTTTTGAGAATGACGCAAATATAAATTGTCACAAAGTCTGCTGCTTCAGTTTGTATGATGGCAATTTTGCATATACTCCAGAATGTTTTGACGATTCATCAGATTAATTGCTATGAAAATGTACTTAATCCCCAAAAAAACATTTCCACTTTAATTCAGCCCTACCACAAAAGGACCAGGTGACATCATGTAAGTGATTCTCTCGTTAACACAGGTGTCAGTGTTGCCTAGGACAAGGCTGGAGACCACTCTGTCATGCTGTTAGAGTTAGAAAAAAGGTGCCCATACACCTGCCGATTATCGTACAATAATCGCGGGTGATCCTGCGATCGTACGATAATCTGCAGGTCTATGGGCTGCATGCGACCGCATCTACTGTATGGTTGCACGACTTTCGTCTTCCCAGCACGCTGGAAAACCCGTTGGACCACGCTGGAAAAAACGTTGGTAGCGTGATCGGAAGACTAAAGCCGCACGGGCCGGTGTGCGCAAGCGTACACTGCCCGCTCAGCATTGCAATCATCGGCAAGCCCGCCCCTGGGGGGGGGAGGACTTGCGATGGTCGATTCGTTTAGTTAGCCGATTATTAAGTTCGATTAATCGGTTAAACAAGAGGGAGGAATCTGTTACACCAATAGATTATCTGCAGATTTTCTGTGGTTGGATAGAAAAAGTGCATGGCCAGCTTAACAGACTGGAAGCTTTAAAAGGAGGGTGGTGCTTGAAATCATTGTTCTTCCTCTGTTAACCATGGTTACCTACATGGAAACATGTGCAGTCATCATTGCTTTCCACAAAAAGGGATTCACAGGCAAGGATATTGGTGCTACTAAGATTGCACCGAAATCAACCGTTTATCAGATCATCAAGAACTTCAAGGGAAAGAGGTTCAAGTGTTGTGAAGGCTTTATAGCACCCAAGAAAATCCAGCAAGTGACAGGACTGTCTCCTAAAAGTTGGTTCGGCTGTGGGATCAGGGCACCACCACCACAGAGCTTGCTTGGGAATGGCAGCAGACGGGTGTGAGTGCATCTGCACGCACAGTGAGGCGAAGACTGAGGAAGGCCTGGTGTCGAAGGGCCGCAAAGAAGCCACTTCTCTCCAGGAAAAACATCAGGGACAGACTGATATTTGGCAAAAGGTACAGGGATTGGACTGCCGAGGACTGGGGTAAAGTCATTTTCTCTGATGAATCCCCTTTCTGATTGTTTGGAGCTTCCGGAGAAGAAAAGGTGAGCGCTACCATCAGTCCTGTGTCATGCCAACAGTAAAGCATCTGAGACCATTCATGTGTGGGGTTCCTTCTCAGCCAAGGGAGTGGGCTCACTCACAACTTTACCTAACAACACAGCCATGAATAAAGAATGGTACAAAAACATCCTCCAAGAGCAACTTCTCCCAACCATTCAGAACAGTTTTGGTGATGAACAATGCCTTTTCCAGCATGATGGAGAACCTTGCCATAAGACAAAAGTCATAACTAAGTGGCTTGGGGAACAAAAATGTCAAATTCTGACAAACTCCAAGCATTGATTATCAAGAATGGGCTGCCATCAGTCAGGATGTGGCCCAGAAGTTGACTGACAGCATGCCAGGGCATAGTGCATAAACTTAATGTAATTGTCAATAAAAGCCTTTAACACTTCTGAAATGCTTGTAATTATACTTCAGTATATCAGAGTAACATCTTAAAATAAACTGAAGCAGCAGACTTTGTGAAAATTTATATTTGTGTCATTCTCAAAACCTTTGGCCACAACTGTATTAATGTGTTCTATGTTTTTGTATGGTTGAGTTTTAAGTGTTGTGACATCCAGACTGATGTGTCAGTTAGTAGATTAGCGATACACAAGGACACTGAGGGGGTGATTTGTGGAGTAGAAAGATATGTATGTATGCGTCATCGACATAGAGATTGTATTGGTATATGGTATTCTTGAATGCTAATTGTAATGTTTTAAAAATGGAAGGCTTTTAATCATAAAGGGCTTTTTCCAGTGTTTTGTAATCCTACATGTAATAACATTCTATAAAGGGTTTTTATTCTTTGCATACCGTTTTTTTTTTCTTCCCCCCCATTCTGCTCACAGTTGCCATTTTCACCAAGTGCTGATGATTCCAGCCCCCTATACTTTTTGCAACATGTGACAATGCACATCTCAAGGAGGAGGGGGGAGGGAGAGAGTGCAATTCCCCTGAGATCTTGAAAGATTTTGCAGTTTGCAGATGGGATTTCCCAGGAAGGTAATGGTGATGCAATGGTTCACAGGATACATCTGAGACCAGGGCTACATCACCAGTGCCGCACTCAACCAGAAAGTTGAAAAACAGTAATTCAATGTTTAATGTAACTCCATTTCGCATCAGCATGGAGCATAAAGGTGTGCTGTAAACATTTATGTCTTTGAGCTACTGAATGTCAGATACACATTAGCAATCAAGCATGACTGTTAACAGCCTAGAATACAGTATGATTTAAACAGCCTAGAATACAGTATGATTTAAAGGAGAGCTATGAGGTGAGTGCTTTCCACTCCTAATAGATAGATCCGACCTGTGACTAAGCTGTCACAGGTTGGCTCTATTGATCGGGAAGTGAGCAGAAACATGCAGCTGATCAGCTAACTTCCTGATCGTCTGAGCGGTGACTGTCAGTCACCACTTCCTGCAGGGTTTCATCCCTCCCCTCTCCGATCCTCCAGCCCTGAGTGGAGGAATGAACGGGGGATGGGGAGGGCACAGCTGGCACTGCCTCCTAGATAGGTAGAGCCAGCTGCCAATCAGCTAGCTGGGTGGATCATGACAGTATTGCCGGGATCTGTCCCGGCTGCGGCGCTCTCGGTATATTGCAAGCTATAGCTATATGGGTCACGGGAGGAGGTTAGTATATGTCCTCCCGTGACCCTAAAGACAACTATGGGGAAAAACACTTACCCCCATAGATTCTCTTTACACTAGAGGTTAAAAGATAACTATTTCCTGAGGAGAATAAGCAGAGAGAAGGCCGCCTAATAAGTGGTGGTCTGCTCCTTCATTGTCTGGTCAGTGTTCAGGATGTGTTCTTGCCCAAGCTTTGCTCCTTCTGCAGTTTAAAGTTGGTAACGCTGTGTTGCCTGCTTGAATCTAGGACACTTTAGTTCTTTGCTTACCACCTGCACAAATGTTAGGGTCAGTGTTGATGGGCTTTTTGTTTTTGCATTTCTCCGTATGCATGTCTAATGGGAATTTAAAAGCAGGTGAAGCAAGACGAGTGTAGGTCAACTGCAGGTCAACATACACTGTTTGAATTTCGTCCGTCTTTTTGAGTAACGAAAATTCGCTCTGATGCTCCAGCACTGACTAGAGGAATGGACGGGGCGGGTACAGCTGGCTCTGCCTCCAGATGGGCAGAGCCAGCTGTCACGCAGCTGGGTGGACTGGATTTTGACAGCATTGTCAGGATCTGTCCCAGCTGCGGCGCTTTCGGTATACCGCGTTCTGTAGCTCGCGATTATACTGAGCTTTGGTTCACAGGAGGCGGTTTGTATATATCCCTCCTGTGACCCTTAAGAGAACTATGGGGAAAAACACTTACCCCATAGTTCTCTTAAGATGTTGTGTTCATCTGCTGAAGACCACTAGACCATTACCAGTCCAATATTGTATAGTACAGAAGAACCCCAATGTTTTATTGTGATGCATATAATTTTAAGTGGTAAGCAAAACATCCTAAGATGTCATGTAAACGAATCAGAAGCTTGTCAGGTTTTGTATGGCTTCATACTTGCAGCAAGTAATCTTACAGCTATAGGGCAGGTCAGAAGGATACTGGGGGGAAAAACTTCAGAGGTAACCGAGAGCCACATGTGACTGCTGATCCACTAGCTGCTGTGTAGCTATGTGCTACTACATAAATATTGTTGATTATCATGCTTTGCTATTGAATTGTGTGGACTGTACAAAGCTAAAAGTAGCTTTAGTGTAGTAAAGATGTAGGAAGGCTGCATTTGCTTACCCCACTTTTAGAATTGCTAGTTCCTGACTCTTTCTGGGCCAAAAATAACTGTACACTGTCTTTCTTGCTTTGCATGTATGTTCCCAAGACAGTGAGTAGTGATAGCGGATATAATGGAGGACCTATATCAAAACTGAGTTCAGCACCCTACAACCAGAAAACCCTGTTTGGAAAAATTGAGATTTTCAAAAGATCCATTTCCCCTTTTATATGCATAACACTGAGTGTGTACAGTTGGTGGGTATACCTGCTGGGTAACTGCTCAGAGCTTCTTTCTTTTTTTCTCTCTTGTGTATGGCACAGCAACATTGGGTGGGCACTGTATTGAACTAGCATTTTTTGTTGTTGTTGCACTTGTCCTAATTCTGTTTTCTGGTTCTCTTCCTACTAGCCGATTGTGGCATAGTTTGCACAAGTCTAAGCCTACTTAATTTTGTCTGTTTTGCTATAAATAGTCGTTGGCAATCTGATTATGCTCTCTGACCTCTGCCTAAAAAGTAAATGCTTGCTTGCTTGCTCCTTATCTTATTGAGCAGTTTACTTGGTTCTCCAAGCATGTCTGTTTGGATGAGTTCCATGGATTAGGTGGTGGCATTCTCTGATCTTGTCTTCCACTGTACCATTCCTAATCACATATGTA